CGAAGGAAGGGTCTTGAAAAACGAAATCACTTAAAATACACACACAATTCATGCAATAGGAAATTTTTCTCTTGACTAAAGTTTAAAGGGGTAAGGTACTCAAAAATGGATACACACATAAATTCCCAAGAAATAAATATTGTTAGTCACACCCTGATAAAGACTTCTTTTATAATGTTTTGAATTCGGTTTAAAAATACATAAATGGGTTTTATAGTATTCATTATACTTGAGCATTTTTCATGAAGTTAGTTCTCAAGCAATAGTTTTTAATGCATGTATATGTTAGTTCTTTAAACAATATAACACTTTATTGACTCGTGGATACTTAAATTTAAAAGAAAACTACCAAAAAAAATTATTTTATTTTTTCGATCTATTACAAAAATTCTTTAAATTAATTCTTAAATTTAGTAAGTAATTGTAAAAACTACAATAGAGGGATATAACTGTTATAAGTTAATTGCAATAAAAAAGTATTTAATTTCAATCAAGTCGTAATGTATAATAAATGAGAAAAGCCTGAATTGTGTGCGAATGTGTATGAGTAGTGCAGGAAAGCATTATATTTCAATTTTTTTTAAATAATCATCTTAGGCCCTTCTGGCCATTTGTAGGTGAATCTATTTTTGTTGCCAAATTTAGCGACTTGGCAACATTTTGAAATCAAATTCGTTACCAATATTACTTCTGTTTATATATCATTATTAAAAGAACATTCGCTATTGGCCAACAAATGATTTTTATACCAGGTGGTAATAATTAAAGTTATACTATTCAGAGGCCTGTAGAACCCGTTCTGCTTATCGGATTGTGATGAAACTTGGAATATATGCTATATGGACCATGGCAAAAAGGTTTCGGCAATGAAAAAAATAGTTCAAATTTTGACCACCAGGAGGAAATGTGGTGCCTAAATGATATGTTGGAATCATTAAAATTTATTCAATTACAGAATATTCTCAATATGTGCTCCATTGACATGAATAAGGTGTTGAAAGCCCATTATAGTGTTTTCAAGGGTAGCGCGAAGCAACTTATGAGGGATTTCAGCCACACGGCGTATAATGCTAGCTTTCAAATCGAGTAAAATCTTAATTCCTCCGCTATAAACACGGTCTTTTAGAAATCCCCACAACCAGAAATAACAGGGATTTAAGTCGGGTGAACAAGAAGGCCATGCATCCAGAAAATGTATGGATATTAATCAATTATCGCCAAAGTTAGCACTAAGCAGTGCTTTGACTTGGCGCCCAATGTGAGGAGTTGCTCCATCTTGCATAAGATAGTGGTTTGCAAACATTGTCGTTCCTTTAAAGCAGGAATGATTAATGATGACAAACGCTCACTGAATGATTCTCTGGTTATGATTGCAAGTTTATATTGAGGTTTTACGGGTTTGCATAAAAAATATTCAATAAAAGCCACCTGGGAGTCAAAATTTGTACTTTTTTTTAGAAACATTTTTTCCGTGATCCGTACAGTACAGTATATATTCCAAGTGTCATCAAAATCTGATAACCAGAGCAGGTTCTACAGGCCTCTGAATAGTGTAACTTTAATAATAACCACCTGGTACCTACGAGACCCTTTCCACTGAAAAGGGAACAAACTCCAAAAAGTGTTTTTTATAATATTGTATGTGTAATTTGGTTCTTAACAAAAATTCTTATGTACTGAATTTTGTAAAACCTATTTTAAAGATGAAAAACTTGAACGAAAAATCTCATAAATAATTTGTTTGTTAAAAAAAATTTTTTTTTCTTCATCAATATGAGTTTATTGTGATTTATTTTTCGTGTTTGTATCTCTTTGCAGAACTCAAATTTGGAACAAATGAAGTATGAAGGTAGAACATACTTTTCTATTCAAAGATGTTAACGGTACCTATCCCTTCGATATTGAAGCAGAGGTAATTCCAATTTCTTTCTAGTATTGTGCTTTATTTGCTTTTGTTTATATTCTGCATTTATAATTTGTTTCTATATATTAACTTTTAAATATTTATATATAAAAATAATATACATCTATTCTGTGTTATCATATTAGTTCGTACAAATTCTTATCCGCCAAGAGATACATTTTTATAAGTGTATATTGATACATTTATAAGTGTATCATATCAGTGTAAATGTGTATTTTATTTTTTATTTTGTCAGAATGTATTTTGTTTTACTCTCAGTAAATTAATAATTTTTTAAAATAATCTTTTTTTTTTCAACTTTTCCATATACTTGCGTCCCCCCTCGTACAGTTATCTCACCCCCCTAGGGGTGAGCACCCCACAGTTTGAGAGACTCTGACATTGCCGCATACGTAATGCCAAGTTTTAAAGTTTAAAAAGGAATTGAAGTAGAATCAATTTTTTAAGAATTTTAAGACAGTTGGGAAGATTTCATGTTTGTCTCGATAATTGTTTTTTCGTCATTTGGATTTCTTGGTGTACTTTAGGGTCAAATGATTTCTTCACTTAAAATACAGGGTGATTCTGAAATAATGAGACAAACTTTGAGGGGTAGTAGAGTTTACTAAAACAAACAATTTTTGTATAGGAATATATGGGCGGAAGTGCAGCGTTGAGGCACAAACAGAAAAAATAACAACAAAATTATAAAATGTTCATTAGCAGCATACTTAAAAAAGGATTCCGTAGAGGAAATATTAAAACAGGTTTAGAAATTGAATCCAAAAACCACCATGCATGCTTGGAGAACTTTATGACGTAATTGGCTGACAATATTGGTGATAGTTGAAGGCAGCAAAAGGGTGTGCCAGTATTCTGCTGCACCACCAAAATCGACATTTGTGCTTGACATTTCAGTCGTTAGGCGTGATTTTACTAATAGCGAAAAGGCAGACATTCATCTAATGTACGACACCGTTAATGGTGCTGTCAGAGCAGTTCTACGGCTGTATCAGGAACGCTTTCCAAGCAGATGCATGCCGAGCCACAAGCTGTTTCAGCGATAACATGGACAACTGTGTGAAAATGGGTCATATACCGCCAGTATTGATGGAAGGGGTAGATCGAGGACTGTACGACAAACACACCTGGAAGAAGCCATCTTAGACCATGTGGATGAAACACCCCACACAAGTTCAAGGACTGTAGCATCTCGTCTACATGTCAGTCAACTAACTATTTGGAGAGCTTTACTGTTGGACTGTCGATGGATACAATTTCCAAAACTGTTTTAACGTTTTCTGTATGGAATCACTCATGAAGTATGCTTTCTTTAAAGTGTTTATTTTCTATTTCTACACTTCCTTTCATGTATTCCTATACAAAAATCGTTTGTTTTAGTGAACTCTATCAACCCTCATAAAATTTTCCTATGATGTTAGAATCATCCTGTATTTGCACGAGTTAATGGAATTGGCAAAAAAAATTGGCTTAAATCGCCAATACAGCGAAAACATAGTCGTAATAAGTTGCCATGGATATTGTGAAAAAATGCTCCTTAATTATTACGAATATATATATACAGAGGAAGAGAAAGATATATATTGATTTCAGAATATATACCATTGCCGGCTTATAAGAATTCTTTTCAAAATAGTTTAAAATACTTTTTTTGAAAATAATAGATAAGTAAGTTGAAATAATGCATCAGCTTCTTATTTCAATTTTTACTAATTTTCTTTTCATTTCACTTCGAAATATTATTGTTCGTTTGTAAAATTGTTTGTAGCAATTGTTCCTTAATTGAAACCTTTACATTTTTTTTTTGGCATTGAATTCTTCGGATTTTTTTTTTTTTTCCTTTCGAATTTCTGGGCAGTGCTTGTAAAATTCAATTTAGGGCGTTGCAATTCTTTTTGTTATTAATATTGAAATATACCGATGCCAAACTATTTTTAATTAATTTCTATATGAACAAATGATTTGTCTCATTAATTTTTCTCTTTAATAATATTTAATAAGAATCTTGATAAGAGAGAATTATTTTGCAAATATATATATATTTTTATTAATTACAAAATTAATTAATTTCTATACAGTCGAATGATTTGTCTAATTAATTTCTCTCAGTAATAATATTTTAATAACAGTCTTGAAATGGAATATTTTACAAATATATGTATTTTTTATTAGTTACAAGTATTATAATAAAATAAATAGTTTAAGAGAGGTAAAATTTTAATTAAATCGTATTAGCTGTTTCCTTAGAATTGTAACTTTTATGGTTGTTAATATTTAAATCGAGTCGCTTGGATTCTATCAATTATGCGGTGTGAAATAATTTGGTAAACTGAAAGTGGGAAGGAATTTAATTTAAAATGTTACATGGTGTGTCAATTAGGAAAGTGAAATACCTCAGTTAAATAATCTTGGTTTAAAATTATTAGTTGAGTTACCGTCGTTACCCAACACAGCCCTCGTGTGATCTAGACCGACATTAATTGATGTCAACCCAAGATGGTTAAGTAGTAATAATATAGAGCCACATTTAAAAGAATATTTCGAATCATTAATAAGCCAAAATAATTATCTGTGTTGCTTTCTTCGGGTGTTGTGAATAGTTTTGTATAAAAAATAGATTATGAAATATATATATTTATCCTTTTATTTATTATATTATTTATAAATTTTAATTGTTATAAATATTTATTACGATAAGTTTAAGCTTAGCTCTTATTTATCTGCTCTCCCATAAATATTTTTATATATTGACATATTTCATTCTTGTGTTTTTAGAGCAACAAGTAATAGAAAAAAAAATTAAAGTCAATTCCTACTTAGAACAACCAAGAGAAATTTTATTTCAGTTACATTTTATTAAATACTAATAATTAATATAAATATGTATATACATAAGACAGAATCACAATATTAAGTAGCAAAATAGAAAGCGATTTTCCTTGCAATTTTCTATTTTCCTTTCTATACAGGGTGTTGGACTATTATTTTTGTTTGTTACTATTTATTAATTAATTTAATTTAATTATTACAGTACAAACAGTATAGTAAAAAGAAATCACACTCTCAGAAATTAGACCATCCCAGGTGGGATTCAAACCCACGACCTTTGGAGTAGAAGTCCGTGCGCTATCCATTGCTCTACAGGGACACAACGAGCGATTTTCCTTTTTATATAGGGTGTTTGACTATTATTTTTGTTTGTTACTATTTATTCATCTTTTAATTTAATTAATAAATTAATGTTTGAAAAAACTGTATTAACATCAAGTGTCATCCATTGCAAGTTTAAAAAATGTATTTGAACTTGAATAAATGAATATAAAGTATTTTATCAACGATTGAAAAATAGGACAAGATATTTATATATGTATACTAGCGGTCCCGACAGACGTTATCCCGTACACACGTCTTAAATCCGAAAATTATAAACTTTTTTTAATAGGTTGTAACAATCTGGACCGTTTTAATGAATTTTTTTTATAAAGAAAGTTATTACAATACCTGACATCATCACATGTACAGTTAACACAATTCGACCTATCGACTGCGTGCGAGTATGTATTTACTATGAACTAAGTTGAATATAGAAGCCATTCTGAATAGAAGCTTAAGCTTGTTTTAGTTAAAGGGTAAAAAAGATGAAACTCGAGCTATATTTTCATAACAGATATATTTATTTTAATGAACAAAAAAATAAATTTATCGTAATGTCATTGAATGTACAATGTTTTTGGTTAATCCTTGAGGGGTATAAGCAAACAAATGCGATGGTTTGCTAAACCTCGGACATGCAACATGTAATTGGCCGTGCGAAAAGCAAAGGTTTTCTAAATCTAAGCCACAAATTGTCATCGTTTGACCTTGTGACTTATTAATGGTCATAGCAAATGTTAAGTAATTGGAAATTGCAGACATTTGAATGGGTAGATGAGTCTGAAAGAATCATTGGGATCTGTCGTAGAAGTTCAACTTCACCTTGAAGTTTGCCGGTCAAAATAGTGGCCTCAAGAATATTGCCCATGATTTTTTTATGAACAATCACGC